AACCCCCTTCTTCCCCTAAAACCCTAAACCCTAAATAGAACCCCCTTCTTCCCCTAAAACCCTAAACCCTAAATATAACACCCTTTTAAGGAGTTTCGACTAAAGCTCCGGTGTTTAAGGCAGAAACTCCAGCTCGTCAGGGCCATCTCGCTTCATGGCCTTGCACTGTGAGGATACAGGCCTAGGAGGGCTGTTCTGGTTGGGGTTTAGGGTTTAGGGTTTAGGGTTATTCTATTTGTTGATATTAAAACGTCTATAGATTTGATGAGGATATGTAGGGTTTAGGGATATTATCTGAATAACAGGAAATCAAATTGGAAATTTGAAAAGGAAACCTTTAGGTAGATGTTTCTAGGTTTAATACTGCATGACCCCCACTACATCATGCCTTGGAAATGACGGTATTCCAGCATGTAGGTTATGCAGGAGTTTTAGTAGCAGCCCATTTCGCACAGTTTTGCAGCTGAGGCACCAGCTGCAGCTGAGGCTGAAGGATCCAAACCGGGTTCAGAAGGTCCAGTTGGGGCTGGGGGCTGCGACATGGTCTTGTATTGTCTTGCTGTGCGGCTTATTGGGATACTGTTGAGGTTATATAGGGATAATGGAAAGTAAGATGGAATAGTGGGTTATATAAGGGGTACTATAGGGGAGATATTGGGGTTATATCATCTGAGCATAAGCTATACTAAAGCCGAGCGGGCTTCAAGCCGTCAAGGTTTGCAAGCAGCCAGGATGTCCATGTCACCAGGTCCAGTCATGGTATGACGGTGGCGCAACAGCAGACATGTGACATGTGAGTGTGGCGAAAGGGCAGGCTGTTTTTACCTCAGCGAAACCTGTGAAGAAACCATGCCATTGAAAATGACAGGCATTGTCGCTTAAAGGCGAGTATTCTAGCCAGCTTCCCTATCGAATGGGGAGGTATGGTACCAGTGTGTCGTACGGATGCTTGTCCTTCAACTAACTGAAGCGCGGCGTCTTGCCGCATCAGCGCAAAGGCCGCCGCCGCAACCTCCAGCAGTGCAGTCTTTTTACCTCCGTTACTTCGAGATCCAGTATTGCGGTTTATTGGTGTTGACATGTTTCATGGATGCCCCGTACTTTTTCTAGGATCCCACTTAATGTACTCAATGTGATTATGAGGACGGTTATAGGTATTGCATAGGCATCGACTCCCCCACGCCCCACGAACTCAGCAATATAAGAAGACACGAAAAGTCAGCACGTCCGGAATGACAACGGTCTGGCTCCAGAAAACCCTGAACCTAAACCCAAAACCCCTAAACCCTGAACCCGGAACAAGCTCACAAAGCCTAAATTCTCCGGTGCTCGTCTTGGACTTGTCAAGGACCTGCATGAGGTTGTTGCCTCCAGGCACCTGTCAAAGGGAAGAAGGCCGGCCGCCAAGACCAAGAACCCTAAACGCTACACCCCTGCTTGGAGGGTCACAGGGACTTAGCAAATGGGTTAATAATTCCAGAACCCATGTAGTAGCCTCAGACATCCCCATTATTCACCTACTCACCAAGTCCACCTGACCCTCCAAGTACACCATAAACCCTACACCCTGCACACGGTTGCGTGTCGGTGAGCCCAACCACCCCCCCAGTTCCTCCTTTTTCCAACCTGTCGTCCAAGCCGAGAAGCAGGAGTACTACTGTATAAACACCCTATACAATCCCAGTTTCCAGTTCATTTTCCATTTTCTTTTCCATTTGATTCTCCATTATTGGGGTAATATCAGCACCCCCTTGGCTAACCCAAAAGTTGTTCTTGTTTTTGGCGGAACTTTTCTCCAGGATTAGATCCTCGCGATGCCTGATCTAAAAGTTTAGGTTTTAGGGGTCCCCCATCACTGGTGTGGTTGGGTGTTGGTCTTGGGGATGGCAAATGAAGACTGATGTGAAGGATCAGCGGAAAACTGTCAGAGATTTTCAAAGGAATTACAAAAGGAATAAAGCAGAAATTTTATGGAATTAGAAAAAGGAATGACAAAGAGCCTATAAAGATTACATGAAGGTGCTTGCAAGGATTGAGAGAGAACCACACCACCCAACTGTGCTGTGCGAGCTGGGGGGGGCTGCAAACAGGAGCCCAGAATACGCAATGCACGACCATGTGCATACATCCCGCCACCCTAAACCCCCAAATAACCCATTACAGTAGTTTCCATGTTCTTTGCCATTATCTAGCCTATATTACCCTGTACTATCCCAATATAACCCCTATAATATCTTCCCTGTATGACCCCTACATCCCCATATGAACCCAACCACCTTCACTAAACCCCAACTCCATTTCATTTTCTATTGTGTTTTCCATTTGATCCTTCAGTATAGGGGAATAATATCCCTACATAATCCCTACATAACCCCTATACAAAATAATCCTTTTAGTAGTTCCATTTTCTTTTCCATTGTTCCTACATAGCCCCTTTTCACTATAATCATTATAGCCGTTTCCATTCTCTTTTCCATTCTCCCTATATAACCCCAATATAGCCAAGTTATGCGGGCTCACACCCTAAACCCTAAACCCTAAACCCTAAATAGTAGTTTCCATTATCCCCATATACCCCCACCCCTAATATATTCCCTATTATCCCTATATAAACCCAATATAAACCCTGTGGTTTCCATTTTTGTTTTCCATTATCCCTGAATAACCCCTACTTAGAAATGTGGCCTGCTCAGAGGCACCCAGATCCTTGAGCAACTTGGCAGCTTTCTTCTTCTTCCTTCAGCTTTACAGGGTGCAGGGCTTAGGGTTTAAGGATATTGGGAATATGTAGGGGTTATATTTGGATATTATAGGGTAATCTTGCAAATATAGGGGCAGGGGAAAGAAAATGCAACTATAGGGATTCTTTTGTATAGGGGTTATATGAGGATTACATGGGGTAAAACCCTAAACCCTAGTTTAGGCTTCCTTCGGCAAGCTTCAAGCTTCAGCGCGTGGGGGGGGCCTATTAGGAGCTGCCGGCTGGGGGCCATGGGCTGGAGGGTAAAGGGTACCCCAAACCCGAATCCTAAACCCTAAGCCCTCAACCCTTAACCCTGTTGCTTACAAAGAAGAGCATTTTGATGGTCTCCTCTCCAGTGCCATCTTCAGTGGCGTTGCCAACTGGTTGTCCGGGCCGCTTTCAATGTTGATGTCTGCCTGGCCAAAATGTTATATGGGGTTTCCCTGTAATAAAGATTATAGAATTTTGGGATCTATATTGAGGTTCCCTCATTGTGGGAAGCTACCATACTACAAGTATTTATTGTTATTATGAGTGCTTTCCCTAAGCCTAGAACCCTAACCCTAAACCCCTAAACTTGTTGCTGAACTGCCGGCCTGGAGCTCGAACAGCTTCTGAATGATGTCAGGGTTGTTCCTCAGCAACTCGTGGCTTTCAGAACAGATTTGTACTATAGTCTAAACTCCTTCACGGGGGTTATTATATAGGGGACTATTGCAGGGGTTATTAACGGGGATACCAGGAGTTTGGACTATGTATAGCTCGTTTGGAAAATGGCACGTAAAGCCAAGCTGCTGCATGACACCTTCGTGGACAGCTGTGTTGCCGCCGACCGCTGGCCTCCAGGAGCACTGACGTCACTGCTTGGAGGGTAGGGGTTAGGTTTGAGGGTTTAGGGATTACTTGGAAGGCAGGGGGACTTAGTAAATACCCAATTATTCCCATTATTCATCTAGTTACGAAGTCCCCCTGACCCTCCAACTAACGCCTAAACCCCAGACCCCAAACCCTAAACTCTAAATCCTAAACCCTAAACCTTAAATAGTAGCTTCCATGTTCTTTTCCATTATCCCTACCATTCCCGCAACTGCGGTTTCTGTGAGAGCCGGGATTCCGACATGTCCAAATTGGCTTTGAACCGCATCAGCACCTGCGAGCCAGGTTTAGGGTTTAGGGTTTAGGGTTTAGGAATTATATTGGAGTTATATTGGGATCATCATTTTGACAACCACCCATGTGTATAGGGATAATGGAAACTACTATTGGGGTTATATTGGGGTTGCATTAGGGTTATGTTGGGCTTAGAATGTGGTTGTATAGGGAGAATTGAAAAGAAAATGGAAACTAATATCTAAGGTTTAGGGTTTAGGATTTAGAGTTTAAGATTATGCTTTATAGTATTGTATCATTACTATTACTAGTTATGGTAGCGACCGTCGTGGTAGTCATTGTCCGTGTCGCTGTATTTGTAAACGCAATACTATTGTTCTTATGAAATTTCTATGATTGATAAGTACGTTTAAAGCCATTCTTGCCATTGTGTGATCTGTTTATATGGGGCTTCCCAAAATTAGAGGTACCTTTTTGGGTGGTGCCTCTAATAAGGACTATGAGATTTTGAGGTCTATTGGGGTCCCCTTATTAAGGGAAATACCATGTTACAAGTATTTACTGTTATTATGATTGCTTTCCCTAAGCCTAAACCCCTAACCCTAAACCCCTAAACCCTACATGAGCTCAAAGCAGCAAACGTAAACCGCAGAGCCGATGGACAAGCCTCCAGAGATTCTGGACGATTGCTGATCGCCTTTGACAATTGAAGCTGCTTGCTGGGTTTATAATGGGGTTATATAGGGATAATGGAAAAATGGAAACTACTATTTAAGGTTTAGGGCTTAGGATTTAGAGTTTAGGGTTTGGGGTGTAGGATTGCAATTGAAGCTGCTTTCTCCTACTAGATATCCGTAGGTGTATATGTACACACGTGCATGTGCATATTTACATATGCGTGCAGACTCACGTATATGAATATGCATAAACATGTCGATATATGTACCTGTATGTATACATGACTCGGTATGTACGTATATGTATACAAACACACTCCTCTCTACACATGTTATCCATAAGCGTATACAAGAACAGCTTTCTACGTTTATCAAGGGTAGTTGTATGTACAAAATGAAATCTGGGTGCATATGCATATATCTATATTAGTGTATATATATATGCAGGTATACGCAGGTACTTATTTCTTTGTACCCCAGCATCACAAAAAAGACCCTGGCCGCAACGTGCACAGGCGCTGCTCCGCTACAGCTCTTCACGTTGAGATCGCCCTTGGCCTGGCTCTTTGAGACTTTTCGTTACTCTACATGTAAAGAAATACCGAACCCAAAACCTACTTGGAGGGTCAGGGGGACTTAGTAACTAGGTTAATAATGGGCATACTTGGGGTTACTATATGGGTTATAGGGAGTGTTAACCTACTTACTAAGTCCCCTTGACCCTCCAAGTACAACGTATCTACATATGCGTCGGTCCCAATATCAGGGGTGGGTGGACCGCTTGATATCACGGCAGGGGCTTGATAGAGAACACTACAACCCCCCATGACAGCAACAGTCTGCACCAGCCTCCAACAGCAAACGAATGTTGTCAGTCTGACCACAGCCGCAGGCATTGTGTAATGCTGTGTAACCGCCTCATGTCAAGATTTGCATCTGTGCTGAGTACATCTGCCTGTGGCAAACCAGTACCCTCTGAGCTGCCGACTTCTGTTCCTTAACTGCAATTGCAGTAGGTAAGTGCGCACGTTTTCAGGGGCGGCGCCATCTTGCTGAAAAGGCTCACCAGCTGTAGGTCCGCCCCATGTTCCAAAAGAAGCTTCAGAGCCTGCCGATCACTCAACACACAGATAAAACCTTGTCAAACTTACTCCACATGCTTCAGAAGGGGGAAGTGGGCGTGCTCGCGTGGGAGTTCTCCATACTGCGGCTTTCACGCTGAGTTGCTGGAGGTCTCTGATGTGCAAGACCCCCTAAACGTTTCTGGCCAGCTGCTTGCGCCTCATGCCCTAAACCCTAAACTTAGATAGGGCTATATAGAGATGATGACAAAGAAAATGGAAACTACTATGTAGGGTGATTTAGGAAACCTAAAACTCTGAACAGTGTGAGTCTGCTCATGGACATCTTGCCTTTGGGAAACCCTCTTGGTCGTTCATCTGCCAATTCCACAAGTATAGCCCCCTCAAATAGATACAATATGGAACTGCCCAATATAATGACAAGATCCCCATATGCCTCATATTCTATCTACTTAAGGGGGAACATGGCTAAACCCTAAGCCCTAAACCCTGAAGCCTAAACCCTAAACCCTACAAACCCCTTAGAAGGATGGCCTCCTGCCCACCAGAGGCTCCAGCAGCAAGGTAGAGAGCATGAAAGCCAGAGGCGTCCTACCCCAACAGGCCACCAGCCAAGGGAATACATTGGGATTATATAGGGATAATGGACAATGAAATGGAAACCACTACAATGTTGAGGGTTTAGGGTTTTATTGGGATTATATAAGGATAATGCAAAAGAAATGGAAACCGCTAATTCTAGTAGGGTATATATGGAAATTATAGGGGCTTATGTAGGGATAATGGAAAAGAAAGTGGAATCTACTGTTTACGGCTGTGGGTTGAGGGTTTAGGGGCTGGGAGGAAAGCGTGGTAACCCTAAACCCTGAACCCTAAAATCTGAACCCTAAACCCTGAACCCTAAACCCTGAACCCTAAACCCTGAACCCTAAACCAAAAGTGCTGTCCTGGTAATTCACATCCGCCTTTGCATCCAGGAGCCGGCGAGTGGCCTTCAAGTGGGGCACGACACTAACTGAAATATGGGGATTAGTGGGGTTTAGGGTTTAGGGTTTAGGGGTTAGGGGTTAGGGGTTAGGGGTTAGGGTTTAGGGGTTAGGGTTTAGGGTTTAGGGGTTAGGGTATATATTGGGATTATATAGGGATTATGGAAAATGAAATGGAAACTACAGGGATTATAGGGGTTATATAGGGCTTGTGGCCATTGAAATGAAAACTATATGGGTTTAGGGGTATTACCCCAAGAATGGAGAATCCAATGGAAAAGAACGTGGAAAATGAAATGGCAACACCTATGTAGAGGTTCTATAAGGGCTATTTTATGAGCTATAATCTAAACTCCTAGTATCCTCCCTAGTTACCCCTATAATCTAGGGTTTAGGGTTTTGAGTCTAAACTCCTAGCTATCCCCTTAGTAACCCCTATAATACTCCCCTATACACTCGCCTATAAAAGCCCCGTTTAGGAGTCTAGACTATACCTCAAATGGCTAAGAAACTGCTGAACAGGATACCTTACACTAGGGAACTCAGGCTCAAACTCATGAAGCTCTGCAACTGTTACAACATACATAGTGTTTAAGGTTCCAGAAATTAGAGGTACCGTTTTGGGGGCGCCTACAGTAAGGACTAAGGTATTTGGGGTTCATATTGGGCACCATACAGTACCAGTACATCCTCCCTCACATATCCCTGGTTTCCATTTCAATCTCCAGTTGATTGTCCATTTGATTCTGCATTGTAGTAGCTTACATGTTCTTCTTTTCCATTCCCTAAACTTTAAACCCTAAACGCTATACACCATGTAGTAGCTTCCATCTTCTTTTCCGTTATCCCTGGATATATCCCCTACATACCCTATAAACCAGTATATAATCCAAGTTGCCATTTCGTCCTCCATGCACTTTTCTTTTTGGTTTTCCGTTATTGGGGTTATATTCCTATACTCTATACCAACCTTTTGAAAGCCCTAAAGTCTAAACCCTAGTCTCTAAACCCTAAACCCGAAAACCTAATCCCCAAACCCTAATTCCTAACCCCTAAACCCCTAATCTCTAAACCCTAAACCCTAATCCCTAAACCCTAAGTCCAAATCCCTACATAACCCCTAAACCCTAAACCCTAATCCCTACATAACCCCTCACATGGGGCGTTGCAAAGGACCCCCTTGCCTCGACGTGGCCGGCCTCTGCAGCTGCCAGCAAAGGCGTCCGTCGGAGGGACACCAGAGAAAAGCTTTCGTCCTGAGGTTTAGGGTTTAGGGCTTAGGGCTTAAGGTTTAAGGTCAAGCGATTAGGGTTTAGGGTTCAGGGTTTAAGGTTTAGGGGGTTTAGGGTTTAGGGATTAGGGTTTTAGGGATTAGGGTTTAGGGGTTAGGGCTCAGGGACAATGATGATGGGCTAGCTTCCCTAATAGGTATAGTCGGAAACACTGGTAGTATCCGAGCAATGGCTACAAAAGAACGGTTCAGGGTTTAGGGTTGAGGATATTGCCCTTGATTCAACTTGCATTTTGTCCTACTAGGTTGCCTAAGCTGCCTGAATATTCTTTGCTATTTGGGTGGCCCGTTGACAAAACTGATTGCCTGTGCAGTGCAGTAACTTCATAAAACACATGGTAGTTGTTCAAAATACCTGTCCCCGAAGATGGGCATGATGTAGGTTCCCTGTTTGGTTAGGAGCCCCTTTCGAGGCCAATGGTCCCTTCTTTACAAGGACCTTTAGAACAACCACCCTAAACCCTAAACTCTAAACCTAAACGCTAAACCCTAAACCCCAACCCTAAACCCTAAACCCAAACCCTAAACCCTAAACCCCAACCCTAAACCCTAAACCCCAACCCTAAACCCTAATTGTTGAGAATATCGCTCTCCGCAAGCCCTCTGAC